ATTGCGAAGAATATATAGCAAAATTTAATTTTCTACAAGAGTTAAAATTTTTATAATTTCTATTACAATTTTAAGTTTTTCTCTTTTTCTCTAATTAATTATTTTTCAATTTGAATAAGATTTATCGATATAAGTATTAATCAAAGTGTATTCATCAAAATCAATCTACCGTTGAATAGCGTCTAGATAAATCTTTTCTTGGAAATTTTTTATCTTTAATAAAGTGTAATTTATCAAAGTTGTAATATTTGATGATTCATATATCAAAATCTATGATCAAAGCAATCATTTCTTAATCAATTTTAGCGTCAGAATTTATAGTTTCGAGAAATTGCAGGGAAGAATATTACATTTCTAAGGTATTTTGAGTATTTTGAAGTAAAACACATGAAAGCGTCAATTTTCTGTTATTTTAAATACTTGATAGCTATTTTATTGGTAAATGTCTAAAACCTATTACTTTAAATTACACCTGTTCCACAACACAACTAGCTTCGCAGTAATTACAAGCAATGACCGGCAGCCATCGGTTCGTAGTCGATTAAGTGAGAATCAGACGTACCATGAGTGGCTGTTCTCGGACGCACAAACTCATTAAAGTTTTTTTTTCATTGGTTCTCCTGACGATTATTGCACCTAAGAGACGAAAGCTGTGATTTATTCGATAGCTGCCAAATAAATAATTAAAAAAAATTGTCCGGTGCATTTTATATCCCTTCGCGTGTTTCTTCGAAATCGCCTCGGTTTTAAAGAACGAAAGAACGAGTATAGAAGCGTAACGATGCAGACGAACTTCATATTATCATCTTGGACGGCATCGTGGTTGCAGGGCTTCCTTTATTATTCGATTGGACGGGGAATTGCCGGCGGTGATCGAGCAATGTTATCCGTCTCAATCAAACGTTTCCATCCACAGCTTTCGTCGCAGTACAAAAGAAATTCCTGTTGTGTACGCGTAATACCTGGGTATCCGCGAGATACCTGTCTACTCGCGTTGCTCTTGTAGCTTTGCCCCGAAGCAGCGATTCTTTATCTAGAAAACCGAGGAAATTCACGATATACAAGTTCTCAAAGCAAGCGCAACCCGGCAACGATCCGCGGCGTCGAGACTTTATCAAATCCCCGGGGCAACAAATATTGTTGATTTCAGCTTTTCAACTTACTTCCCGTCGTCTTACAGTACCGGCTGCATCCGCGATTGAAAAAATATGTCTGCGCGTATTGTTCCGCCTGATGTTGTATTCATAGAATTTCAATGCAATAATAGCTTTAGCTTTCCTGAGATTTCTCAAAATACAAAACAACAATACCAAGAAAGAATATTATTTATTTTTTATAATTTTTTGTAATCTTATATGTAAATAAGTTTGGCTATATAATTCTTATATTTATCTCATCGAGATCGTTCGTAGAATGTTTTTTTTGGAAGTTTTTGCATTATTCTGAATAATTTTTATTATTTACGCGGTATTAACATCTTGATTATCCTATATAGAAATTTGTAATAAATATATAATAGAATAATTTATCTTATTTTTAACGAGATTGAAAGAAGGGTTGGAAATGTTACATTTCTTTACTTATGGAAATCAGATAACTCCGGCAAAACGAGGTCTCGTAACAAGAAGACTTTATAAAAATTATCTCTTCGGCTATAAATATCAATGATTTAAAGTACATGGTTCGCTCCTTTCCATTTTACTTTAGCTCGGCTGTGAATCTACTCCGATGCTGTCAGAAAATATGGACATATATTCCCACATTGAGATTTATGTTTATAGAACTTCAAGTGATACCTCTCTTCGATTTATAAAATGTCATCGATCAAGCTATGTCAGCTTCTTCATTTTTTTAGTTATATATACCACGACACATAATATCATGACACATAAAACTCGACGGAAGTAAAAGTTAATACGGAATATCTGTAGGAAATAATCTTAGCATAATATAGTAATGATATAATAATAAATGAAAAATATATGTTAGATAATATAGATTAAAAGCACTACTTTATCAAACTTATAACATTTTTAACGCATATAATGCAAGAGAAAAAAATATAATTTTTTAATTATAATTTATATTCTTTTTTTAGACTATAAGTCTCTCTTTCTCTCTTTTTTTGCGCGTTTTGCGTGCGATAGTTTTGTTGTCACTGCTCTAAGAGCAATCAAAATGACAGAAAGGTCGAAGTGATACGAATGTAGTAACTTTACGAGACGAGCTCTGCAATCGTGTGTCGAAAGTATATACGTCAAAAAGAGGTCGAATGAAATTTCTTGTTGCTCATAGTAGAAGCGCACGATGTCGTCCATTGCCGGTTCAGTCATGCGAACGCGATGTTACCAGCTGATTTCACCCGCGTTTGGCTCGAAATGAAATCCGCTGAATTGACAACCAAATCGTTTTGTACGAACAGAAAAGTCATTTTTACGCGATAGATGTTTTTTCATGCTGTAAAATGGCAAAATAAATAATTTTGATTATTTTTTAATTAAAATTAATTGATTTGATCATTACATATATATTCCCAATTATTGTATCATTCAAGCATTCATAACAATCCGATTATTTATCGTAAATTGTTAGAGTGAACCGTACGCGACAAGTAACGAATTGTTTTGTCCCAAAAATTTGCGCTTGAAAGAACTCGTGTCATATTAATGCATAAATTGTACTTTATATTGTTTCCGCTCGGTATGCGTTACTCGTATTTTCCAAGCAAATTTATGATAGCTGAAATACATAAACGGTCGGCTGATAATACGATCAGTGATCAGATATCGCAGAAATTTAAGAATGGAGTCGATTATTATTAATGCCAAATTGTATAGCGAATACGCGCGATACACATTACTTCACGAGAGACATTTTTTTCAAAATATTTCGCGAATAAATATGAATATCGAAGTAATAATTATGAAAACATCAAAATTTTATATTTTTATTTTTATTAATTGTGATAATTATATTCTCGAAATTTTTATTAATTATCCATAAGTATAGCATTATATATAGAATTTGAAAGATGCTAGTAGTCCGATAGAATAACTCAGTATTCATATTCAGGTCTTCTGGCGGGATTAAAATTTTTTTAGTCCAAACGCAGGATAAATCCAGCGTCGCAAATGCACATCGATTGATCGGCAGATCATTAATTACAAATCCATTATCACGTTATCGAAAGGTAGGGGTCTGCGATAGAGTGCACGTTCCCCCTTTCCCTTTCCCCCCTTTTTTTTGCCACCTTCATTATGCAGGAAATCCTTTTTACACCGATCGAGAGCATTTTTCGTATCTGATTACGTAAGCATAAGTTTCTCGCAGTAATCCGTCAAAGAGGAATGACGTACGAATATAAATCACGTTAGACGAAGACCAAAGAAAATGAACCGTTGATAGAAAAGTTGACGAAGTGTTAGATATTGACTGACTTTGGGGAGTTAATAGTGAATGTAGGTCATATTTCCATAGGATTAAGTGTACATTATATTTTGTAACGGCATAATGTAATGTAAATGTAATATTACATTAAGTTGTGCCATAAGTAAGCTCGTCAAAGTTACTAATACGAGTTCTCGTCTTTTAGGAATTTGCTTCGCGAAGCAAGAGTTTCCTATATATTTCTAAAATATACAAAGTGACCGTAAAGCCCCTTGCAACGGAGGTACATGCTTTTTTACATTAACATTATTATTATTACAATATTGGATCGAGATAAATAATGTAATTTTTTATTTGAAGCAAATTTGATAGTTGAATATATAATAACTATGAGTTTAATAATTATTTATACGTTGTAATTTTTACTCGTAATTTGAATAGTGCACATTTCCATATTTCCGTTTAAAAATAACTGGAAATTTGCGTTAGAAACGCGCAGAGAATCAATGAGATGATTTACTTTGATAACTTTTGATAAATTATCAGAGTTAATGACTACTGAATTTTCTTGCTTTATATATTTATTTATTATAAATTATCAAAGAATTATCTACATTATTTTTCATTGCAGTCCAGCGGAGAGTCAAAGTGTTTTGACGGATGATATTTATAATAATAAATCAGGAAAAATGTTTACTTGATTTTAATTATCGCGGAAATTTCCCATAAATCATTTCACAAGCATGCAATTATCTGTTTTGCATTAAATTTATCAGAATTCCAGTGTTTTCCAATGGATTAAAGTTGTTTTATTTAACCCTGAATCGAATTCCCTTCGCCAGAGTAACGAGGACGCATAGCCCATCGACAGCTCATTAATTACAAATCATGTTGTGAAACTTCGTAACACACGCATCTGCGTCGTATATGAGCTTTAGTTTGCTTACTGCACGCAATTATTATGCGGCCAATTACAAACATTGCTAAACAATTGTAAATATCTGTAGAATGTTTGCGAATGTTTATGAATTTATGCATTTTTCAACGATCATTATTTATATTGCAGCGATTAATGTTATATAGAAAAGTAGGTGTTATTTTCATTTTAAATTGTAAATACGCGTTCTCTGGCATGTTTTTAAAAACATTATGAATAATACAATTTTTTAAATCTTTAGTGCCGATGTTCTCCGAATTTATTTAGTACTGTATTGAAAGATTAGTTCATTGAAAAAGATATATTGCAAAATCGCAAAAATAATAAGAGATAGAAGCTGTAGCTAATTTCGCATCATTTAGTACTAAATTCGAATAATTTAGTAACGTTTAGAAATCTCGATGAATCAAAACTGCTTTGGTTGATCTCTTCGTTGATTATACAACGTGTTCAATGATCATTAGACAGTGTAAATGTAACACCGATAGACTAGTTATGCTCTCTCAATATGTGCCCGATGCAGAAGCACGGTATGATTTAATTACATGATGAGATTGTTGCTGAAATAACATTTATCAAAATGATGGATGACGTTTAACGATCCTAACAAAAGTTTACGATAAAATTTCGGTATCTGACTGGTGTGTTTTGAAGTTTAATATCGTTGGAGCTCGCATAATAGGATAAATGGTGTATTACGTTTTTCTATATATTTACATGGCATTATACATTTTCTGTGAGACTGCTAAACGAGAATGGGTAATTAACTTTTTGCCAGAAAAAAAACGCAGCAGTAATCTATCAACTACCAACTGTAAAAATGTTTAAATTAATTCACTGTACGGTCGATCCCATTTTTCTATCGTTACAATGTCAGATCCGTCGCTCCTTTTTTCCTTTCTTCTTCCCTTTGCAGTTTCACGTTTCGATGAGGCTATCTCGGATTCGTGGAAAAAAACTGGGCCGTCATAGATAGAGCTGGTCTCGTGCCAGAGCTGAGAAGGAAAGCGGATTTATATCTTAGCACGTTTTATTTGCGGAGCTATGAATCCACTTATACTCGGCAAACTCGACAAAAAAGGATGCAAAAAGCTGCGCTTGTGATATATTAAAGTGAAAATTACAGTTTGCGGATTTAAAAATTTGTCGTTAAAATTAAAATGGGAATTTCCAGCACAACTCTCTCTCTCTCTCTCTCTCTCTCTATATATATATATATATATATATATATATATATATATTCGTGATACGCACACACACGTGCATCCTTGGATATCTCACGCGCGTGCCGACATTAAAATATGCTCTACATACATTATTATATGAAATTTCCGCGATGCTTTTTTGCAACAGCATGATTGCGCTTCACTCTGTTATTTTCTCTGATTTGTTTCTTATCGATCCGAGCTAGATCGAGGCTCGCCCTTAATGCACTAGCGTAACGACAAATATGATAATATATAAAATTACGGCGCCCATTAGCATAGCTCGCGCGGACCTAACCCACGTTGCACACATGCGGCTGGTTCACGTGTCAGCGTGATGCTCGTGCCTTCGTTATCTATGCTGACCACATGCCGCGTAATCTTCTTCATTATATCTGCCGAGTCGTTTTGCATTTGCATTAAACGAAAATGTTTGTGTACGCGCGTCCCGACGAGATAACGTCTGGGACTATCCCGACCCCGTTTTTATACCGATCGGATTTTAGATATAACCGCGGAAATTTGTGTGTTGCATGACCGCGGAAAATCTCAGCAGATGTCGGCGAGATTGGAGAGACAAAACGACGATGTTACTCGTAGGATATAGTTACTTATCATTATTGATATATGAAAAAGAAAAAAATTTGTAACTTAAAAAAAAATATTTATATTATCGTAATTCGGGAATAATAAATCGTTCTTAATCCGCGATTGACCTGATCTATAAAACTGTATTTTCTTTTAATTTTTCTTTCGTTTGTATCATCGTTGAATTTTATTTATAAAGACTTTTCTATGATATTTGAGGAGTATTCTCTTTATATTCACGAGAAATCAATTTGCCATCGCGTGTTACATTTTTAGTACGTAAATGCAGTGTAAATTTTCACAGACTTAAGCTATAAATTTTTTAAAAGAACGTAAAGAATTTATACAAAACGTTTGTCTTATCTCGATCCTTGCAACGAAGAAACCTAAAGGAATGTAACAAGGGCTCGAAATCTATGACTTGCGCAAGGATGCCAGAAACCTTAGGATAAGGCTTTAATCGGTGAAGCAGACTATGGTTTACGACGACAGTTTGATATATCGGTACGGGGCTTATCACAAGGCTATCGGTAATTGTACACGTATCGCGTTATCTTGTGCAAATTTATTTTATTTTTAATCGCACGCTTGTATTTTATTTTGCATATTTTAAGAGTATATCCGCACGTTGATTGCACTGATAACTAATATACCTAAAATATACCTACGTATAAATCAAATAAGATAAAAAACAAATACGTTTCGAGCTAACGATAGTTTGCATCTCGTATGTCTAAATTTTAATATAGAGATGAAAAGGTTCTCTCAATCACACAATAGGCAATTGATAAATATTCGACAGATTCGTTTGCGAGAATATTAGTTACTTAGCCTTAGTGTCTTCGCAATAGTATGTATTTCATAATTGTCACATCTAACATATGTTTCGTACAGAATGCGGTGACATAACATATGTAAGTAGTGAAAATCACGTTAAGTAAACCTAGAATAGAATTAGAGGGAAGAACGCTCGCGTTTTCATTTGTCGGCGTCATCATTGTCGTCATTGTCGACACGAAGATGTCTATAAGGGGCTGCTTTTACTCCGAAATGCGCCGTACGAAAGCTTTGCACTCCTCTTGGAATTTTGTCGGGTTCACGGGCCAGGAAATTCCAGTGGCGGCAATTAACGTGAGCACTTTAGCGTACTCAGTACCCTGTACTCGGGGGCAGACAAAGGGCTAGGGCACGGCAGCTGCCGGTTCTCTTCCCGCAAACATTGTTGTGCCGAAGCACAAGTTTGGCGGTCGGGTCACTTGATTTCCGAAAAGCTCGCAAATTGCACCGCGTTTTTTCGCTTGCCGCATCTTTGATTTTCTGTTCTTTCAGCATTTTTTTTTTTTCATGCCAAGTTATTCTCATGCACGAACGAAACTCATACACGCACGAAACATTTGTTTGCTCGTAATTTCACTATTGCAAATAATGCGGTACAATCGATATACAATAATTTTATTTTTTTTTTTATTATTTTATTTGTATAAAATATTTTTCTCTTGAAGCACACACACATACACACATAAAATAAAATATTTACAGAAAATTTACTGAATTCTCAATTTAAAAAAGAATATATTTTTTAGATATACGTTCTTACATATAAGACAATCTTCCGAATTGGAATTACGTAGACATGGAATTTTCAATTTCCTGCAGAATTAAAATTCCTCAAAGCTTTCTCAATGCTTTGTAAGAGAAATGCTCGAAATTTTAACGTACAAGCAGGAAAGCTTTCTTAAAATGCATGAATCTTCAAGCGTCAGTTATTTTCAATTATAATTATACAGTATAAAAAGACAGAATATTTTAAAGATGAAGAATTGATCCACATACATCTACACACAACAAACGATGAGAGAAACCAATTTATATCTGCACCAGTTTTCCTCGTATCCCTTTGTACGTCAAGCAAAGTTTAGAAAGCCACATTTATTTTTGCAAATCCTGCATGAAACTCTCTACGTTCTTTTGCGCGAGAGTTTGTTCCAGTTTCGTTCTCGTTTGTCGGCTTTATCATGTAAAATTCCAACTTGTTCGCGACCACTTTACATTATCGATTTCTTTATACACCGGTAATGGCAAGCAAGACAAATTTAATTCCTTCCAGGATCTATATATTTCTTTCTGATCATTATTCAGTTTCTGTTTAATGATACACTCTTTAGTAAAATTTAGTGTATTTTCTCATATATTTGTCGAAAATTTATCGCTTTCTATAATTTATAGTCAGATTGTTCAGTAATGTGTGTATTAATTGTAAAAATATTTGATGATTTTACTCTTCTCTAATATAGATATTATATAATTAAAAAAATAATTCATGTTGCACGCGAATTTTTTTTTCTATTAAACTCGACAAATCCAAATTATTTTGACGAAAATACTGGGTTGTCGGTCGCGAAGTATCATATCATATCATATTGAATCACAAAAAGGCATGAAAGCGTAAACTCTTAATTTTTTTGCTACATTGCACCAGTTCGCTATATCGCCATTTCGCGGTTCCCTATCGTTTTTTCAGTCCCGAAGCACAAATCGATGGCGGCAAGAAGCACGAAGGAAACGAAACGTGAACGGCCATATATTTCTCCCGTAGTAGCTTCGTGAAACGATTCGCGTCATTAGCTACCGCGTTTCCGCCGATGACTTTACGATTATACGTACCGACTGGCTTCATTGATTTTATCGGACTTGCTTCGTGTTCGATGGTATCGCGACGTCGTACATTCGTAGCGCGATTCACGCTATCCTCGATTTTACCATTTAAATTTATCTTAGATTTTAGTTACATAAATCTGTAAAAACAATTTTTATATCACAACTAGTAAAATTAGATATGAAGCTCCTGTTTTAATCTATATATTAATGAAAATAATGGCCTCGTTATATTTATTAAAACAACAAATTATGTTGGATACTGAACAAAGTTTAGTTAAATTGCCATAAATTTTTATTGCTCTTAATATGTAATTTTTGTGGAGAATTTATTCCATTATCTGTTATTGATTTAATATAAATAATGAACGCGCGTATGTGTTACGTGCACGCGGTTTATGTTGTTTTTATTATAATTTATTACATTTGTTCGGTGGATTGTCATAACTGCAAAAACGTAATCGGACGCATAATGCGGCTAAAAGCGGCCGCGTAGTTAAATACATTTTGTAATGTCTGCGTGGCGAATCGCAGATTACCGCCGCAGCCGCCAGCAGCACACCTCATAGGACGACCGTCATTTCGGTTGATCGATGCATCGCACCTGCGTTCCACTGATTTATATCGAAACTGCAATGTCGCGCGACGGATTTTAATCTACCTTCGTCGAAAATTCCGTGACACTTGTAATTTAAGAAAATTAGTCGTTTTCAATGCTTTTTTTCGCCACGTGAATCGCTTAATTATCTATCCCAAGGGCATTAAATTTATTCTTTTCTACAATCTCAATTTTCTCTTGAAATGGTGAAACTAATATAATTGGTTTTAAAAAATTTTTAATTTTTATTATTTTTATTCTTTGAGTTTGACATTTAAATAAACTTATCGAACTTAGATTACTTGTGATTTTCCCACATCTCTACATAAGAATAAAGAAGATATATACGTTTCGAAATTAAAAAATAATTTTATGATGAATATGATTTGATATCCTATTTAATGGGTCTTAAAAATTATTTGAAATGAGTACCATCGAAATGAGTCAATCTTCCTCGCAGTAGGACGCGTTCTCCATCGTGTTATATACATGGAACTCAGTTCGCGAAATTGTTTCACGCAAACCCCCAACAAGCGTATCATTCTTCTTCTCACTTAATCAAGCGCGTGTTCAGGTTCCTCCAGTCGATTTCCTTCCGGCGTGTATCAATGTAGAGGAGTCGGTTACGAGTCCCGATACCAACCGCAATAACTAGATGCTTATGAATAGCCGGTCGTGGTAAACGATCAATCACTCCACGCTTCCTTTCAAGTAACGCTCTCCTTACATTCAATCCATCAGCCGGCAGCTATTTCTTCAGACGGCCTATTGGCCTTTCGAACAACGATACCCTCGCTCTTTCTATCTAAGATGTACAGTCTATATCGCGATTGCCTGGGCTGCTAGAAGGTTGTTAATAATTTCCATCGTATCGAGATATCCTTGGAGCTCAGTGGCAAGTGTAGCAAGCCTGGAGATATGACCCACAATACGCGATAATCGTTACCTGGCGGATCTACGGGGGCTCTCCGGTTAGATTGAACCTATAGAGACGAGATATTCTCGAGCATTCGGGAGAGAGAGATCGACATCTCTCTAGAAATAACCGCAGAACGCAGGCTTCAAACGCCGTACGTTACGATGTCGATAACGAAATATGGCGATTACGCGCGTGCTAGTCGAAGTGCATTTTTCGATATTTTTATCGAGTACGTACAGTCGGGTAGAATATTGTGCCGGATCTACCGAAAAGATGGAATTTATGAGAAATCCGGCAGCGGCGACGTCAGCGGCGTACGTACGATTTATGCGTCTGTATCCGGGGATATGGAATTGAATATTCAAAGTTTAAGAGAAAACCTTCGTATTTTATAATCCAAACTTTATACCGATCGTGATATTCCAGCGAAAACACGCACATCATTATTTTAA